ATCACGTGACTTCAATGTGGCCACCCCCCACTCTAAGCCCTTTCCCCGCCCCCTGTGGAAACAGACTCTGCTCGTCGGTGCAGCTGCATCAAGGCCCCCGATGCAGCCTCTTCCTCCCCATCCTCATCTCTCCTGATCTTTTGCTCGCGTTTCTCCGTTGATTTCCTCGTATTTGCCATTCGACCTCTTCTCGTTCCAGTTTCCGTTTTCCTCTTCCACGAATTACATCCTCGACCCTAATCCCCTTCCCGCGGTGTGCCACGGGAACAAAGTTTACGAACTACAATTATTACAAAAGCTCGGCTCCACGGCGCAGCCCTGTAGGGTACTTCGCCCAAATATAAAACAAGTTCGCAAGCACCGACGGAATTAGAAATCACAATTGAACAGCCAGGACTTCAGATCTCACTCGATATTTTCCGGTACGCTGCTAGACTGGCTTGAAGTAGGGACTATCAGCATAAGGCACTACCGCTAGAGTATAGGGCACATCTGTCCATACTAATGCAATATTATTGAACCGTATAATCCTATAAGCAGGTTTATTTATATATAAACGGCGAGATTGATGTGGCGTGTCAAAATAATTCCCAGAACGGGGTTCCAGATTCTTCCGGCTGAAATTAAGCACCGCTGGTGGTAGCAACCACGAACTTAGAATCACAAACAAGTTCCAAGACAACCAATCTCAATGCATGCACTGAGGCGTACAATAACATACAATGCAGTACAATGTGGATGTGTATAGCCTCTGTCAATGCGGCTGAATCTGGAGACGCTGCACAGAAACAGAGAGCGTGTTTATTTGAATAGAGTCTGCAGTCAGTCAGTCACAGGCAGAGGAATAAAACAAATATATATATATATATATCTTAGGCCTAAAATTAAACAGGGGAAGGCAGTGGACAGCAATTGATGGCGGGGGGAAGGAAGTTCCAGATCTGACTTAGCGTGTGTTTCACTTCTTTCGCACCGTACGTAGCCAACAATTCTCATCGGGAGGCGCGAGACTGTGGGGGAAGCGGTGAATTAGCGGCTTCCCACTGAGCGAAGGCTGTCGACGAGTTGGTGGCATCAAACAGAAGGCCGCACAACAACTCGGCCTCGGAGCAGCCCATACAGCGCCCGTTTTTATACGTGGTGGATGGCCACGCATGCAAGCACGATGCATGCCCAGCCCAGCTGAACTTCCGAGATCTGAGGAGATAGCCGTGAGATGCGGGTGATTTGATCGAAGTTTGGGATTGTGCGCGTGGGAGCGGTGGCGCAGCGGTTAGCGTCCCGCGCTTAGAACCCGGTGACCCGGTGTCGATTATCTGAACCGGTACTGGACATCCCCTAGGTCGACTCAGCCTCAAATGAGTACCTGGTGCGGTGTGTAAACATCGCCATTAGGGAGACAAAGGCGGTCGGGGGTTGTGCTGGCCACCCACCCCTCGAGTGGCGTGCCAGCCTTCATAGATGATACTCGCTAACATCACTTTCCTCGACAGACTGTTAAGGCTGTACGGGTGAGCTTTGTCTTTGTGCAGGGATTACATTCTCATTCGATATTTTCCGGAAGGCTGCCAGGGTTGGCTTGGAGAGTGGGGCTCATCGGCGTAGGACACTTCCAGTTGAATAATTGTATCATGTATTCCACACCACCGCAGTATCACGGGGGAAGAGCGCAGGTTCGAGATGGATGTTGTCGCACCAACATAATTCCTGGAACAGCGTTCCGGACTTGTTCCGGCTGAAATTTAAACACTGGGTGTGTAAACTCTGCGCCGAGTGCTAAAACACTCGCCGTCCGCGAGACTTTCTGCAATAGCTCCCATTCCGCCCCCCGACACCAGACTCCAGGATCCAGCCACCCTTACAAAGCCCACACAAACCCCAGCCCCGTGCGGGTCCCGTTCGGCTGCTGTGCTCTCCGGGACCACCCACGATTTGTATCTCTCCCCTCCTGTGGAGCGTGAAGGAAAGCAGACTTCTCTCTCTCTCTCTCACGCACACACGCCCAGCGCACAGTGACACACTCGGTACGCACAGGACGTACGCACGCACGGAGCTAATTTTATAACGTGTATAAATATACTGGAGTAAACATACGGACATTTGCTGTGGGGGGGGGGGGCGGAGCGGTGGTGCAATGGTGAGCGGACTGCGCTTCGAATGCGATGAGTCAGCTAGCATCAGTCAGTGGCGAGTGACGTTTGAATCATTACTGCCCTCCCCCCTCCCCCATAACGAACCTGCACTGACCAGAGTGGTGAAGTATAGTTAAACAAATCCCCCGTAAACAACATGTTGGACAGACCTTCGTCCAGCAGTGGATTGACCGACGGTTGTAAATGATTCATGATGATTTACAGCGGTGGATGATGAGTGGTGCTGCGGTTAGGGCACTTGGCAAACAAGCGGAAAGTTCACAAGTTCAAATCATGGTTGGGGGCCGACTCGGCCACATCATCTCTCTGAGGTCGATAAAGTGTATTATGTTATGTTGAACTTGAAAGGAAGGCTTAACAGAATGGCTTGACGACTTAAGCGATTGGTGCCAGAAAGATGTGGCAATACTTGAGCATATTGGCAAGACAGAGGAAAGTGGAAACAAATGCCATGTGCAGTGGGCATCTAAGGGCTACCTGCCCATGGATCATGATGAACTTCTTTCGCACCGTACGTAGCCAACCGTCCTTGAGAGAGTGACCCTGCCATGTACTCCATCTACCACTGACTCAGGGATGGCGGCAGATACAATAACTGCACTGCCTTACATGTATGAGGGCATGTAAACAATACGAATATCTTGTTTTACCCCAGCTGCCGCTGAGACCTTCCTCCATGCCTGAGTCACATCCTGACTCCACTGCTGCGACTCCAAACTTGATTTGAAGCTTTCGTGACTGCAGGAATTTATTCTTTGGTTCTTTCGGTAAAGTCACGTAATTCTAGATTTGAAGCTTTCGTGACTGCAAGAATTCATACTCTTATGTTTTTTCGGTAAAGTCACGTAGGTAAAAAAATTTAATTAAAAGTTAATAAAAGTAATTTCCATTATTACTTTTATTAACTTTTAAATTTATTTTTTACCTACGTGACTTTACCGAAAAAACCTAAGAGTATGAAAGTCACGTAACTTTACCGAAAGAACCAAAAACGACTGCGACTCCGTACAGCCTCCCCCATCCCTCATCGACTTTGCCGGTCTCCTGACCCGCACCCGTAAACGAGACATCAACCCCAATACTCCGATTCCTCTGCCTGCTCCCAAACCAACCCCGGATCTATTCCCGAGATGTTAACTACCTCGCCTGGTATGGAGGAGGTCGTGGGTTCGTTCCCGGCCCTGACGCCTGCTGTATATTTGGAGCTTGCATGTTTTCCCCGTGGTCGCGTGGATTTTTCTCCAGGTCCTCCCATTTTCCCTCCACATTAAGAAACACGCGTTTAGAATATTTGGCTGGTATAAATGTCCACATGATGACGAGCCACTTCGTTCAGCTATCATTTGTGGCCAGGTCGCTTCTGAAAAAAAGCTATATAACTCAGTGGGCCTTACCTAGTAAAATAAAATAAATATATTTTTTTAAATAGTTAAACTTACGAGTGATCCCGATCAGCCCCAAGATCTAAATCACCGAACCCTTGCAGATGCCCAATGCCTCAACTCCTCCTATTTATTCGGAGCAATGGCAAACAAGTTTGATTTTTAACCGAGCTTACGCCATTTCTAACGTGTCCTATAAATCGTTGTTTCTCAGATGCCCGGTGTCTTCTGCATTTCAGATATATTTAACATTATAATGGCTAGTCAATGTACGGTAAATCCAATCGTACATTTCCCGAAATGAGTGACTTTGTGGCCATGCAAGCCACTGCAGCTATGCACTTTTAAATCTTCATTGGAAACTCATTTCATTAGAACTGCTTCTTGTGTTTAGTTTGTTGTCCTTCCGCTGTACCTCCGATTAGCACGGTTGGCTATGTATGGTGCAAAAGAAGTTAAACATACGTACATACATACAACACAAACTATGAACCCTATTGTAAACCAATGTAGTGAGCGCACTACAGGGCTCTGATGACAAGGCTTTACTCTTTGTTCTTTCGGTAAAGTCACGTAGAAATTAAATTTAATAAATCATACAACACACGACGTTTCGATTGCAACACAAGCAAACGTCCTCAGGCAAGCTCGGAGAGAGAGAGAGACAAACACAGACACGGAGAGAGAGAGACACACAGACACAAAGAGAAACAAGGCCTCTGTGGTGAGGCATTATATAGAGAGGGGGGGGGGGGCAGAGAAATAAGCAAGTCAATGAGAGCGGCACGGGGAGTGAATGGAGTAAACGGCAGGGGGAGAGAAATTGGAAGTTTGAGAAAATAAACCTAGTAAACTTAGAAATGTAATGCAATGCAACACAGAGAAGCGGCTAACTCAACAGTTAACACATTAGCTGGTTGATTACGTTCTTCCAAAGATTGCTAAGTTAGAAGTTAAGTCTTGAGTAGTGTGGAAATCCTCCCCGTAGAGGTGGTTCAAATTCTTAGGTTTTTTCGGTAAAGTCACGTAGGTCAAAAATTTAAATAAAATAAAATCACGACGTTTCGGATTTATTTTATTTTTTACCTACGTGACTTTACCGAAAAAACCTAAGAATATGAATCCTTGCAGTCACGAAAGCTTCAAGTCTAGGTGGTTCAAACTTGATTTGAAGCTTTCGTGACTGCAGGAATTACTCTTTGGTTCTTTCGGTAAAGTCACGGAGTCGTGCTATCTGTTGATGTGCCTCCTGGGCGACCTTGGGATTTGTTTAACCCAGAAGTCGGCAACCTGCGGCTCCGGAGCTGTTAAGGGCTACTTCTTGACTCTATTTATCAAAAACCGTTTCGTTTTCACGTGCATTGCGGCTCTTTAAATATTGGTACCGAATTCGAAAAAAAGGCTCTTATTTTTATTTTGGTGGCCGATCCTTGGTTTAATCACACACGCATTTTTTTTCCCGCAGAAGACTTCCCGCTGTTCCTGTGCCCCTCTCCACCTGAAGACAGAAAGGACTTTACCTTGGGCTTAACGAACGCCGGCCACGCCAGACAGCCCACGCACCTGGGCGACCAGTCCCTGTGTACACCTGGCCATGCCTCTTCGTACGACGTCAAGCCCTGCCTCATCTGAGACGAAGACCCGCGGCCATCTGGGAGGCCCCGAATGGCCCGTCGAAGTTGTTCGGAAGTTGAGACCTCAACGTTTTGATGGCCTGGGAGCATGATTTACATCCAAAAGGAGTGATGATGAACTCTGGACGCTGAGGAATTAGGCAAGAGTTAAGATGAAGTGTGAACGTGTCGACAGTGCCCATCTGAGCTTCAGGAATCAGTCGTGCTATCTGTTGATGTGCCTCCTGGGCAGCCTTAGATGGCACCGATGTTGTTGCCGATTTTGTACTCAACAAGAACACTACGGTATGTGTAAAAAAACATATATTTTTAAATGTTTTATCATGTCAATGTAACATGTTTTATTCAAACAGCCTATTGGAATGGTGGACCAAAGTTTTCCAACAGCCTTTATTTCAGCAGCCAAACGCTGTAATGCAATGGGTTCCACCTCTCTGGGTCTCATCGGCAGAATATGGCCCTGCTAAACATATGCACCCGAATTTCCTGATGTAATAGGCAAGAGTCCTTTCACGGATACTGGGTGGCCTGTTCATATTGACGTATGCAGTAATAATCAAAACGATGCCCTTGACGTATCAAGGCGATTTTAATGAGGGTGCTTGCCATATGTAGCTCTGCTATTGTTCGCTGTCGTTGCTTAGCATGATGACGTTGGTGTGTTTACAATTAATTTTACAGATTGTTGCTTGTACTGCCATTTGATAGAAACTGTTTCAAACGCATCGTAGCACGTGCTGCCCTTGTAGCACACGAGCAGCCTGCGCACGTGATCGTCTGTCCGTCCCTCCAGCCAGCCAGCGAGCAAAACTTGTTATAATATATTAGCACGGACATTTTTTTAAGTTTTAGTGTTCCCCGGCACAATTGAGCCTTTTGGTAGTGTCACATCAGTGTTGGCAGTCCAGTCTATTGTGTAAATTCCACATTCGTATGGCTGGAGGGTCAGTACATCTGTTGGACAACGAATGCTTAACTTCTAACCAAGCAAATGTCGGCGTCCAAAGTGGTGCTTTTGTTCCTGGCACCAGATTGATGATGGTGATGATTGTGAAGTTGGAGTTGACCCCGGATGGCGTTGAACTCATGTTGCTGCGGTATATTTCAGTATTAATTAAACATATCTATTAAATGATAATTATAGACTCTATCAAAGCATAAAACAATGAACAAATTATAATTTGTTAAATTGATTATAATCAAACGTGGCAATTATCTGTGATCAGTTCAAATGAGGTAACTTTTGACACATTTCCTCCAAAATTCGGCGAATCATGAGTTACATTGCAAGCTGATTTTGAGATGTATATATATTTAAATCTTAAATCCAAATGTTTAGCTTTACAAAGATTCCAAAGCCATCGTTTCTTACCTAAAAGCGTCGCCTAGTTTGAGTGTCCTACCTGGGCCCGGTCATCCAGGCAAGAGGGGGACGGGGAACAATGAAGGCCTAATTAGTAAGATGACATCATTGATGTTAATAAGTAATTATTTACTCTTACAACTTAAATTGTAAAGTTATTTTTTACTATGCAACAGATTAACAATTTGTTAGTACTATTTACCTACTTATGTGCTTTATATTCCGAATGTTTTTGTTGTAAATATTTGCAAGTGTTTTCTCACCGTATGATAAGCTCTCTATATTTGTAATATTTGCTTTCGAATAAAACCACCAATTTAATATAAAATAGTAGGCACACGTTTGGTATTGAAATGTTATTAAATGTTACGTTCGTTATTTATTACGTTTATAATGTGAAGTTATAGCGGTGTTCGTTGCATACAGATGAAAAGTTATAGCTTTAAAGACGTGCTATTTTTTAAACGTGTAATGCACAATGTGTACGCGAGATTAATTAATTTCCGGAAATGTATCCATTCTCTCAAAATTCAACTCTATTCCCGCACCTCCGTTTACCACCATTGGTTACGTACGGTGCGAAAGAAGTTCAAATCCAAACCATGATCAACTCAGCGGCAAGTTTCCCCAAACTCCTGTCTTCACGACCACCACCACCACGCGTTCACCAAGTTACCCCTCCACATTCAAATACAAATCGAATGGTTTTACACTGCACGCGCCGGATGATTGTTAAACACGTCCCTTGAGGAGGAGGAGCATGGGCCATCACGCAGACTCAGGTCATCCTCGCAGCACAAGGCGTTTGGCTGTCCAGCCATCGAACAAAGACGGCCAATTACATCGTGCGCCGTCTGGAACGTTCTCCCTTCCGATATTTGGAAGACACTGGAGCTATCCACTTTTAAATCATCGCGATTGAAAACTAATTTCTTTAGAACTTTTTTTCATTTAGTTTGTTGTCCTTCCCCTGCATACTCCGATTAACACGGTTGGCTTACGTCAAAGCCGTAGCCATGGAGTCAACATTGGGGGGGACCAAATCTTTCAGGAGGTCTGGGGGTCCCCCCCCCCCAGAAAAAAATTAATCTAAATTTGAAAACTAATTTCCTACCTAAAATATAAAAAATTCACTAACACATGGGATGGACTTTTTATTTATTTTTACAATAATGTCTTATAGAGTATTGTATTACATTGCTGTTTTTCTTTTTTACCTGTTCTTGCTTCATTGTATATAATGGCAGAGATTAGGGATTAATAAAGTACAACCACAATCATATAAACAGAAATTTATTTTATAGCAATATATTGGGGGGGGGGGGACATTTTGAGCATATTTGAATATATTGGGGGGGGATGTGTCCCCCCCCAATATACACACATGTATATTATAATTACGTTATTGGCTTACGTACAGTGTGAAATAAAGTTAACAAAGACAAAGATCCCCCGTATAGCCTACGTCACGTGGAGTACGTATATACACACACACGCGGAACAAGTGTACACTCCCACACAGAACACGTGTACATACACACCGAACACGTATACACACGCACGCTGAACACGTGTGCATACACACACACACGGAACACGTGCACATACAAACACACGGAACACGTACATACACACACACACACACACGGAACACGTGTGCATACATACACACACACGGAACACGTATACACACACGTGGAACACGTGTACACACACATGGGAGACGTACACACACACGGAACACGTTTACACACACACGCTGAACGCGTGTACACACACACGGGAGACGTACACACACACGAAACACGTTTACACAAAACATGGGAGACGTTTACACACACGCACACACTCAGACCTCATCTTAATTTGAATCGGCTCAGTTAACGCAGACAGCGTTGGTTGCTTAAAGCGTCACGTGGGATGGGTTTAACAATCATCCGGCGCGTGCTGCGTAGAACGTGTTAATTTGCATTTGAATGAGAGCGAATTGGTAAACGCGGAAGAGCACAGCGTATACTGAAGTGACTTCTATGTACAAAATATACAAAGAAATTCTGTTCTATGCTGGGGACTGCTTTTGAAGCTAAGGGACATCTATTCAATTCATTTGCAACCAATCATCGTTTCGTCTTTGTTCAACTCTACAGGAGTCTCACCTGTGCAGGTGAGACGACCGTGCGTTGTCCGTCCATGATGACGTCCCACATTTCCACACAATCACTTCCAGCACGTGCATCGAAACGTCGCACATGTCGAATCATAAAAACAACAACAGCACCCTGGACCCCACGTCGACGAGCTTTCGGTTAAAGAAGGGCAGCAAAGACATACTGTAATGTTTGATATTCATCATGTCTACAGATAAAGATATTCGGTGGCGCAGTGGAATCACTTGTGCTTCGTAGAAAGAAGAGCCTAAGTTCACTTCCCTGCCTTGGGTGCCTTAAGTTTGGTTGTTCTCCCCCTGTTCTGCACGGGTTTACTCACGGGGCTTACCGATAGAACCCACGACCGCCTGCACACCAGCGAGTTAGTTCAACATCTCGCTGGTGTGACGCCCACCAATAGTAGAACAGTCGTTGCAACGATTTTGGACCTGAGAAATGTCGTGACCATTCTTCGGGTGAGTCACTGCGTGGCGCTCACAGACAGCTGACCCCACACCTGTGCAGGTGGCACCACCGCCGCGTATGCAACGCGCCTCCAAGCGCAAGACGCCCGCATCTATCCGTCTGTCTCCGCACAAACAAACATCGTATTTCTTACACAAGCCATCTGCCCAGCGGCTTTCTGGGAGTGAGTGCACGAGACAGCTCGTATCCTCGCAGTAGTTGGAAGTGAATAGAAACTCTTAAATCGCTGCTATTGTGCGCCTTTCAATCTGTCGCGCGCCTTAAAGTCAAGTGTGCTTTCCATCGCACGCCCGCGGCTCAAGTGGAATGCGCCTTTGAGTTTTCACCATCACTCATCTCTCTTCAATTGCTGTTCACGTTGGGTGGACCGCTGCCCACAGAGAGAGAGATAGAGAGAGGGAGGCTGCTGCCCACATGGAGAGCGAGAGAGGAGATATTCATAAGTACTCAACGCTTACGCTTGTTTGTGTGACATTTGACGGCATCCCAAACCGTTTGAAACATAAACAAATACACACGTGTCATGCATAGGTGTTGCGGGTGATGCGACTGCCGTGTATCTCTCCCATGTGTTTTCCCGTCCACGTGCGCGAATAAGCTTTCGGCACGCGGAGCGAAACGTCGGACATCATTCCGATCAACACGCGACACGACCCGAAATCATCGGAGGGGAACACACATCCGCTCCTGTTGCGTCGAACTTGCGCCCGTTTCTAACAGATATGATCCGAGACGTTAAACATCGACCCGTTCACCAGCAATGGTTTATTTTAATGAGCATGACCGTGCTGATGAGACATTGAACGTCGTGCCCACTCCAGAGTGTCCTTGTATTGCGCCAACTCTGTTGACATGATGCACCCTTCTAGACCAGGGGGTCGGGAACCCGCGGAACTTTCAGGACCGCTGCTTCGTGTCGCCGTTGTTTCTTGACGACCACCGTCTCGCGTTCATCACTTGCATTGCGGCTCTTGAAATACGGAGGGGTTCTTCTTAACCTGGCGTGCGCGCACCTTCTGGGGATGCGAGATGCCCTTTCTGGGGGTGCGAGGAATGACAAAACAAAATTTAGACTGTAAATAATCGAAACACAAATTAATCACGGGCATGTAACTACTCTGTTTCATCAAACCCTGTGTATTTGTTAACATTATACATTTACAATTAGTGAGAACCATAGGGGTGCAAGGCTGCAGGTAATGTTAACAACCACTGTTCTCTAGAAGGTCGTGCGGCCCATGGGAAGTGTACAGCACACTTGAAGAAGCTCATAGCACGAGGAGCGAAACGTCGGACAGCACACCGCAGAGAAACGCACACGTGGTGCTCTACACAGTGGCGCAGCAACGACATCATCAGCTCAGGGGTTGCGACAATCGGTCAAATGGGGGCCCTAATACGTTTATTAAAAACAAATCTCATAGTGGTTGTCGAGGGGGCCACCACTAGGAGCTTTGGCCACCCGGGGGGGCGGCGTGGGGGGAGGGAAGACACCTCCACGCTCGTTATGCTCCTGGCTCTACACTGATCAGGAGGAGGAGTGGGGGGGGGCGTCTAAGATCGGCAGGAAGACACGAGGCGTCTTGCCGTGGCCGTCTCCCTTCATCTCGGCAGCCCGCAGCCCGCAGACGGCACCGCGATCTTATCGCCCGTGGCGCGCACGCGATGCGACTCATCGGCAGCATCATCAGAGGCAACTTGTCGCGGCAATCTGTGGACACTTCACGCGATCGAGAGGAACACGACGATGCTTGTCTCTTCTTGCCGACCTTATTATCTCTCTCTCTCGCGCGCGCGCGCACACTGCGGAGTCAAACAGCAAAAGAGCCGAGTCATTACGAGTCGAGTCATTCCGAGCCGAGCTCTGCTCGTTGCAGCCTCTGCGTGAGTTAGTGCGAGCGTCTGCATCATCGCCATCAGCAGCAGCCATGATCTACCCACTGCTGGATGAAGGCCTCCCCTCCCGAGGCTGACATTGTATCGCACTGCCTCGCGATGCAACGATTCACGCATCTACTATCGAGCTGATTTCATTGTTACATCTTCCCGATGTGCGTTGTGGGGAAGGGGTGGGGTGGGGTGTTTACCCCGTCGATAGTCTTGATGACAGCCCATCATCTCGTCTAGCCACGGTGTGTCCTGCACAAATTCAATCAATATTCCTAAGAGTCGATATTACATCTCTCATCTGCTTATAATCTATGATCCGTGTGTGTGATTTCCTCTTTCTGTATCTCCAAACTTACATTACTCCCTGCTTCTTTGCACGCTTTTCAGCCTACGTTCCCCATCTTCTTTGTCAATGTCCACGTTTATCATCCATCTGTTATCGCAGGCAATATGCATTCATTAAAACAACTTGCCATTTAGTACATCGCTTATTTTCATTGTCGGCGGTCCTGTGGAATTTCCACATTTCCGTGACGAGAGCCAGTTCGTTTTTTTTATTCTTGGCGTTGAATTGCCACAAATTGGTACGCACTCATTTTATCTCCCCAGTGGAGATGATTAACGTCACGATGACAGTAGCAGCTAAATGTCCGTTGTTTAAAATGAAAAGCCTGAGCCTTGAAGACCCTTTCATAAGAGAGTGCTGCCCTGCGATACAATTCAATGTCGACCTGCTCAAACGATCATTCGCTGAGCCAGTGGTGGAATTTCCACGTTCCCGTGGCGGGGACAGAATATCAATATGAGTACTTTTGCATTTCCATAGTATGATAGAATGGCTGTGACGACCTCTGGGGTTTGACCTCGTGAGCCGAGAGCCCTGACCATGTCCGCACACGAAGTAGCATCATACGCGGGTGTATGTAAACGGATGCCTATGATTTATCCACGAAAGTGTGGCTGATTCAAGAGGGTTCCAGCTTTTGGATGTTAATCTCTGCGTGATCCACCAATCCTGGCTCCAATTCGTAGAATTGTTTTTTTCCATACGTTGCGTTCGATGTGAATTGATGCATGGATTCGGTGATTAGATCGATTCACGTCTCCTGTGTAAAGCGTCGCTGTGTGTTGGAGCGTACACTATATTTGTGTACACTATATTTGTGTACACTATATTTGTGTCCACTATATTGGTGTACACTATATTGGTGTACACTATATTGGTGTACACTGTACTTGTGTACACTATATTGGTGTACACTATATTGGTGTACACTGTACTTGTGTACACTATATTGGTGTACACTATACTTGTGTACACTATATTTGTGTACACTATATTGGTGTACACTATATTGGTGTACATTATATTGGTGTACACTGTATGTGTGTACACTATATTGGTGTACACTATATTGGTGTACACTATATTGGTGTACACTATATTGGTGTACACTGTATGTGTGTACACTATATTGGTGTACACTATATTGGTGTACACTATATGTGTGTACACTATATTAGTGTACACTGTATGTGTGTAAACTATATTTGTGTACACTATACTTGTGTACACTGTATTCGTGTACACTATATTCGTGTACACTGTATGTGTGTACACTCTATTCGTGTACACTATATTTGCGTGTCACGGGTTCACGTGTCGGCGAATATGACATTGAAAACAGCGGCGCCCCCACTCACTGTATTATGAAGAAGACGAAACAGTTTAGCTGGCTGGCTGGCTGCGTGTTATCTATTGCTTTTCTCTATCCTGACCCCTGTAAAAGTCACGTCCAAAGATTGGTCGCGTCCAGAGGGACGGGCCGACGGTCATCGTAGTGCCGGTTCAGATAATCCTTGCCACTGACCTTAGCCGTCGCCACCCAGCTTACTAGGTTTATAGTGTGCGATTTGCCAATCAATTGGCCACCGACTTCACCCTCATCATCATCATCAGCAGCAGTAGCCGCCATCGTCTATCTACTGCTGGATGAAGACTTTGCCACACCGTGACCTTCTCTCACTGGCCACTGCTGCTAAAACTTAAACGCAGATGTCGTGACGGGCAGGGCAAACTCAGAACAGGAAACAGTACTGTCATGATCCACGTTTTATTGTATACATATACACAAACATATATACATCTTTGCAAACAATTGCAGTGTGTAAAAAATTATAATCACAAACATCGTGCAATCTGTGCGCATGAAAACCGCATCTTCTTCTGAGCACATGTCACAAGTTTCACAGCGACTGCCACACATTTCGTCGGTGCACATTAATCAGGTAGGGCTGCCCAGCCTCTGGGTGGCTCACCCAGAACAAATGGACGTTCGTCTGGTAGCCTTACTATCATGAAGATTTCGAGTACAACCACCAAGTTATCTAATTATAACGCATTGTTAACTATCCGCAACAAGTGATGGCATTGCCCCGCTGCTGCTAACTTAACAAGGAATGTTCATCAATACGATATTAGCCGCTGTTTCTGTCGGCATAACGGTGAACCCATTCGTCGATTCGTATCGATTCGTAGGAAGAATCTAAGTTTGGTTTTCGATTCGTATGCATCGTAAGTAATGGGTTCACATGATCGCTGCAGCCGCCGGAGGGGTTACAGTTCAATGTAACTTTTAAAATTATTATCGATTCTTGAATCGAATCGTCATCATGGTTCATCAACAGTTCATCAAATCGTCATGGGGGGGGGGGGGGTGTGTGGGGCTGAATTGTCCCGCTAATAGACGACGAGCTTTTGTCAGAAGAGACAAGGGTCCCCTAATATTTACAAGACTTCCACTGACATCACTTAATATTTATATATACCTTGATGACTGCTCTGGTTTCACCTGTACACAAATAGCCAAAACTAAGGCGCGCGAGACGGACGCGGCATACCTACGTCAAGGCTTTTACTTTAAGCCACAGACAATTCGTCCACGATTAACCCGTTACAGTATTTATAAACACACAATGGGTGACACGCTGAGCGTGCGTGGTCTCGACACATTTTTAGAGGGACTATGTACATTCAATTTATACAAGGGTGTGATAGATGTGACCCTACCGTAGAATAAGTTGGTATTTTCAAAGATTATATACTTGTGACACAGAACTACTTTTTTGTCTGACGTTCCTCTATCATACACATTCTTATTTCTATTAAAATTTTAGCCTCAATGTGGTGTCTGTCGGATTGTTGTCGTGAAGAAGCCATCCGTGTCTCCCGCAGAGCGGTGCGACCCTTCGTGCCAGAGAACGAACATCCCCGCGAAAGAAGCGGACATTACAGAGCTACGTCTGAGATTCACTGGTTCACGCAGTAGTGGGATAGGCAGCATTTTCCCACTTGCCCTGCCACCGAGAGGTATTGTTCATCCGATGACAGTCAAATCGATGTTTTTGATTTTTAGAATGTATCCCCCACATTAAGTGCAGTATCACTTCATTGCATTTGTGTTTAGTCGCTGGTGATAGTGCTGAGACACCATCAACTCACTGCACTTGAGAGCCCAGGATTAATCACTCGGCGCTTGCCTCACAAATGTAGCAGTGTCAGCTGAGAGCTGTAGCCTCTGAGCCACCCGTGCCTCCTGCAGACAAACATCATCGGGCAAAGAGCAACTTGCAGCCCTTCACATGGGTTCGTGAAGTGGGCCCAGGACCGGTTCTGATTTCACTCGCCACTGATGTTAGCCGTGGCTGAGAATCGAACTCAGGTCACCCGCGTTTAAAGAGCAGTGCGCGAACCACTCCACCTCCGCATCGCTATTGCTCTAATTGTCCTTCATTCTCCCTCCTCTTTGTCGTTCTCCCTTTTCTCTCACCCCTAGTTGCTCTCTCTCTCTCTGCCTCTCTCACAGACTCTCTTTGTCTGCTGTTTCTCCAGGTTTGTCTGTTCATCTATCCACTTTCGAGTCAGTCTATTATTCCTGCTCGTGTATCTTCGGGCTTGTCCATCTACCCGCTTCGTCTGTCTGTCCCTGCGTCAATCGTTTACCCCGTAACGCAAAACCGTGGCAAAGATGTTGCCACAACGGTTGCACAAACAAAACAAACGAAACAAAGACACAAAGAACGCGACCGTAGCCGCTTAACACATAGCCGCAGCTGGGAACGCATGGTGACACGAACCCACAGTCCCACCAACAACACCACCAGCAGCGAGACTTTGATCAATCATCCACGGCCACCGGCTGAGCTCATACATCAGGAGCCCCCACTCTGGCGAGGGGTGGAGGAGGTGATGAGGAGGTGACACCGCGGGCAGCCACAGCGACGATGGCGACGATGAGAGAGGAGACGAGGAGAGGCCGAACCTCTCGTGGTCTGAGCGTACCACCTCCACGGTTGCCCGGTCCGGCCGGCTTAAGATGCTGTCGATAGTAAAGGCGCTTCTGAAGGTCTTCCTGACGTTCTGATGCTCGCCGAGACCTCCTGCTCCACCTGCTCCTCCCGATCTTGCTGATGCTGCTGCTGATGATGTTGACGGGGGCTTCAGCAAAAAATGCCGTGCAGGAGAACGGGGGCTGGCCGGGGAATGGGCCATCGGACCGCCCATGGAAAGTGGCAGCAGCAGCGGCGGCGACGCCGAAGACGACGACGACGATGGTGACGATGGTGATGTTGATGACGAGGGTGGAGAGGAGGAGGAGAAGTAGCAGGAGGAAGAGGAGGAGGCGGTGTTTGGAAGGTGCAGCTCGTCGGATTTACGGGGGAGGCGCTTTCTCCGGCGCCGGAAGACGCCGTCGGCGAATGTGTACTCGCTCGCCGGGTTCAGCATCCAGTAGTTGTCCTTGCCCCAGGGCCTGGACGGGTCCCGCAAGACCTGCGGCACACGAAGAAGACAGTGGCACCGTGAGATGATCACCAGAACGAACGCTTATAACGCTAATCGCTCACTATGCACTCAATCCCGGTTCGTGAACCCATCTGTGCAGACTTTTAGTTCTCTAGTGTCGTGCCCTCGCGACGGACTTGGCTGGCCATTGAAACAAAGTCGGTGGTCACCGAATCGCACGGCGCTTTCAGATGCCCTACTGTGGCCGTCTGGAACGCTCTTTCTTTCAATGTTAGGACGCCACTGGAGCTATGCACTTTCAAATCATCTAGATTCAAAACTAATTTCTTTAGAGCTGCTTTTTGTGTTAAGTTTGTTGTCTTTCCCCCGCACCTTGGATTGGCATGGTTGGCTACGTACGGTGTAAAAGAAGTTCAACGTCCATACATAATGAAAGCCTGTGACCCTATTCACCCACAATGCACCCAATCCCATCTACCTCGAAAATCAAGCAGGGGTTGAGCATGGATAATGCGCTACCGCTATGCGTAATGTGTGTCATAGACTGTGGGACTGTGGCATGTACGTAGCCAACCGTGCTAATCGGAAGCACGGGGGAAGGACAACAAACTAAACACAAAAAACAGTTCTAAATAAATGAGTTTTGACTTTAGATTTAAAAGTGCATAGCTCCAATGGCTTCCTAATATCGGAAAGAATAGCGTTTCAGGCAGCCGCAAAAGCGCGTCTGAAAGCGCCACGCGATGCGGTGACTGTCTGGGCTGCGATGGGCCCAGATCAATCGTGAGAGTGGCCGGGCTCACACGCGCTTGCTATGTCCGTCCACGTGGTTCCGCGGCACAGCGAGAGGCTCGCAATGGGAAGCGGTGAGTTCAATTCCTGGATGGGCGTTCACCCGGCCCATTCATCCCTCCGGGGTCGATCAAATAAGTGCCACCTGTGCGGAAGTCACACGATGGTTCTCCTATGGATGCATGCGCTCCTCCCGCCATAGGAATGTGGAATTTCCATAATCGGCTATAAGGGCTGTAAACATCAGAGATGAGCATCGCCTCAACGCTCGAGTTTAAAATTACTTTATGCTAAATCGTGTACCTTTGTCCATTAACTCGGGAGTAGTACCAGACCATGGGAGCTGCAGAGCAGAGAAAGCGACCGACCGACCATGCCGCGCCGTACCTTCACGAAGCACTCGTTGAGGGAGAGGTTGTGCCGGATGGAGTTCCTCCAGCCCGTGTAGGAGCCCCGGAAGAAGTCGAACCTCGCGATGAGGTAGTCGTTGATCTCGGCCAGAGTGAGTCTCCCCGAGGCCGAGTCCCTGAGCGCCATGGCGATGAGGGCGATGTAGGAGTATGGAGGTTTGTTCCTCCTCGTGTAGGCGCCCCGAGGGCGCGACACGCGCCTCAGGGGACTCGAGGTGCTGCCGCATTCCTCCTCGTCATCCTCGACACCTCCTCCACATCCAACTCCTCCGGCTGTGGGTCCGAAGGCGATGACGCTCACTTGTGCGCTGTCCATGGTGGAGTCTCCCTGTCACCTGCACGCAGAGGTCAGAGGTCAAGGTGTAATGATGCACCGGTGGCGTATAGTATTGATCATACTGGTGATGTTTGAGCAGCGCTGTAGCGTGTTTGGCATGCC